GGCTGTAGATCCTTTCCTAGTAGAGCAATAATTTATATTCTTGATAGAATACAGTCTCTTAATACTGTAATTTATTTATATCACTGTAGGTAAATAATATATTTACTATATTTTATATCTTGGCAACCCGCGGGTTAACCCGTTGACCCATGGGCTGGAGTAGTCAATAACCCGGCCCGGTATGGACTTTCGTATACATAAACCCAGCCCATTACTTGGCGGGTTGGGCCGGGTTGGGCCGGGTTTCGTGGGCTGGGCCTAACAAGTCTAATTATTTACTATCTATATTGTATTGTTGCGGATATATAGATAACAAATTACATCCAAATCCGCGGATATGCGGATTTGGATATGCGGATTTGGATATGTCGCGGATGCTGCCCCAGCCTATTCTCTATATCTATAGTAACCTAATATTTACTATATAAAGAGATCTTATACCTGTCTAGTGCTATAATCTTTCTGGATACTTTCTATACTACAGGTAGGTTTTCTTTTATCTATATCTAGTTTATCAGGACTGCTTAGACTCTACTATTAATTAATACTTTAGTTTCTTTCTGGCTTACTGGTATATATAGCTTTATCTATATACTTATTAAGTTATTTAGTTTTTAATTAATCTTAATTCCTAGAACTATAGCTATATCACAGTCTTAGATATCTAGTTTTTTAGTATATTAGCTACAGTTATTATTAGTTTAGATCTAGCTATACAGTAATCTCTATTTTAGTATCTAAAATATCTATAGTAATAGTATTTATCTAGTAAGCTGCTCTTATTATTTCTGTAGCTTATTTTATTATTTATATTAGACTTCTGTTCCTACAGGTTATAGTTTGGATTTAGTGATAAAGTTCTATTAAATAATGATCTCTTTCTGAGATTTTATTCTTATTATAGGAATAATAGTATTAATATATATTAGTTAATATACTATTTTTCTTGGTTTATTCTATAATATAGCAGGCTATTCTGAATAGTTTAGAGATATACTATAAAGTTTTTATATTTATTAGATTTATTCAGATATTTTAGTAATTCTTACTATAGCTCTTCTAGGACTCATGTTTAAAGATAATTCTTTTATTATAGTTTAGTATAAGATTCTGGAAGTTATACTTTCTATTATATAATAAATATAGTAAATTCCTGTATAGTTTAATAGAATTATTATTTTATATTATAGTATTTCTAGTTTATATTCTGCTATAAATTAACAGGATTATTTAACTACTGTAAAAGAAAGTTATAAAACTTATTCTAAGTAAAGTTATATTCTTATTTATTAATATATTAATTCTATAGATATATAAGATTTACTAATAGATAGAAAATACTATCCATAATCTTTATTATATTATTAGTAAAATAGTATTAATTAATAGTAAAGTAATTCTTTATATAGATTATAAATATAGTATATTCTTTTATATTTCTTCTATAGTATTCTCTACTTATTACTGGTTAGCTAGAAAGCCTGCAGAAAGAAGATATCTATACTTTCTAGACTTATATTATATTATTTCTGTTTACTTTATTTAATTCTGGTTTAGAATACAATAGTTCTGTCTCTATATATTTAGTTATTTTCTACAGCTTTTGCTTTTCTTACTTAATCAGGCAGTTAAGTTCCTGCTTTTATAGCTCTAGTTAGATCTACTGATATTCTTGCTCTATAAGCTGTACTTCTTTCTCTAGGGCAGGACTTAGGATTCTTATTGTCAATAGAGAGATACTTCCTGATCCCGCTTATACAGTTATATTTCTGTGGGATTACAATATAGTAGCTGCAGCTATCATTACGGGGATCAATTCTGAGGTTATCGGGTCATGCAGTTCCCTGGGGCTTTGGATATTTAATCCAGTGTCTCCCGCAGGAGCTACTGCCCTGTGTGTCTGCAGTGCCATAGCGGGCTATTCGGGGGTAAGAGAACCCAAAAGAGTGATCAAAATTATTAATTACAGCTCAGAGAGCCGCAGGTAGTAGGGGAATAGTGTGCTACGGCGCCGCAGGTGGCAAGAGCAGAGGACTGGGTTTCTATTGAACAGTCTACTACCATACACAGAGGTTGATCACTGGTTTCTGAAGCCATTGGGGTGCGGTAAAGATTTTACCGCAGCGGGTAGCACGTGACCCGCACGTGCTACTATATCACCCGCAGGCGCTGTAAGGTGCGCCTAACATTAAGTATGTATGATGCAAAAACTGAAAGGTAACTGATAAGAACTTAATTCCATGATTTGAATAACTTGCCCTTATAGAGATACCTATTAGGGTGTTTAATAAATATCATTAGTAATACATTACAAAATTCCCTACATGTTATATAAAGCAACGCATATTTATCTTCACCCAGCTGATATACTTTCTATCCTAGGAGAACTTGATTATGACCTTTGTCTCTAGGTAATCAGAAAACTGTCAATATCTGTTTAGTGCCTCTTCTATATCAATAATGCTGGAGCAAACAAAGCCCGGTTTAGCTCTGCCACTTTTCATAAGTTCTAGCAGTGGCTGAACATATAATTTACTGTCTACTGTACCACCACAAATAGTTATATTCTTTTCCTAGAAGAGTATTATAGAAAAGATAATAGATAGTAAGATAGTGTTTCCTTATTAAACTCCTTCAGAATAGGCTTGAGCAAAGTATATACTAATAATCTCTAAGCCACTATCCACACTGGTGCACTTTATTACCTGGTATGATAATAAATAATTGATCAGGCTTCAATATCTCATTAACATGTTTCTCTCTAATATAGTGTATAGTTTACTGAACGCTATTTAGTTCCCGGGCAAGAATTCATGCCGACAGTTTATCCTTCGTGAAGTTAATCAGAATAGCTTCAATAGAAGCTACAAGTTCCAGTTATTCTTTAACAGAGTCGATGGAATACACTTGTGAGGCGCCATAGAGGATTGCCGAATACACCGCAAGGAGACTGACTGTGCCTGCCCCAAAAATAGCGATCTTATCTCCGGCCTCGAAACCCGACCAAGTGTCTCCCGCCCAGGCAGTAGGGAAGATGTCTGAAAGAAGAACCAGATCTTTGTCCGCAATCTCATCATATTCCTCGCCGAGAACAATCAAGGATGGTACATATTGGGGTCCGCGAACTGCGCCGATTAAATATCCTAAGATACCTTTTTCTATTATCTGCTCCAGACAAAGCACACCTCTTTCTCTTTCAAGACATGTTACGAACAAGGGAGCCATTGATAGTCTTTCCACATACAACATGTATCCGTTTTAGCCGACTTCGATAGACTCTTCCTCCACTAATATTGCGAGTCTAAACGCCCAGCTCGATCTCAGATTTCTTTGAGATGCCCCCAAACTAAGCTAGTAATTTTTTTATAAACTGCAGTTTGCAGAAGCGAGAGGACACTCCTTTAGGAATCGAAGCAACAAGCTCAAGATGGAACGACACTTCGGCATGATCCGATAATTTTCGGGGATCTGACGCAAGACGTTGGTACTGCTGTCGAAGGTTGGATATCGCTGTAAACCAAAACAGCATGACTTGTATCGTTATTGACGCCGTCGGCAAGTCTTGCTGCCGGTACGGTTCGTGGAGCTGGTAAGTGTATAGGTCCAAATAAAGTTGTTGTGGAGCAGGGTGCCAGATGTTTGTATCGGGATATCGGGTGAAGCTTGATAGGATTGCCCTGAAGCGGTCTGTTCGATTGGTATTTCTGGGTGGCACCGTCGTTGATGTTGATTCAAGGTGCTCTTGCAACAAAAGCTGCCCGTAGGAAGTACTGTGCGATTAGTAAAAGGGAATGCTGCAAGATTCCCCTCCTCTTCTTGCAACTTTGTTCTTGAAATATACAAAGGCCGGTCTCCGGAGTGGATTCTCATCTGACGTGCTAAACTTGATGACTTAAATAGAACGAACCTTGTCAGCGCTCAGATATACGTATGCCTCTTCCTTTTGCCCTTCGTTGCCCTTTCCGTGCTCAACTTCTGACCGGAGCCAAATATTGGGCGAAATCGTCACAACGACAGCTTTACAGACCGTGGTGTGGCCCCGTGTGGCAGTTCTAAGTCGAGATTTAGTAGTAATTCTACAAATATAACCTTAGTCTCGTTTGCGGCAAAGAATCGTCCAGGGCAGGCGTGTTGTCTATAGCCAAATCCAAGGTGTCTGAAGCTAGCGGTCACAAGTTGAGCCAAGTGATGTTTTGGGGCTTGTTGTTCATGTTGTAAAACCAAAATCCATCCCATGTACTGGGCTAGCTTTGGACTTTACCTTTCCATATACTGTGAGAAGGCACAGCAATATCTCGGCCTTTTTCGATTATGGTACTGTTCAAGGGCGTTATCTCAAGTGCGATACGACGCATCTACACTAGGGCCCAGTAAGTAGTATGCTCTGCTAGGGCCGTCCACAAGACAACGCTCACCACTGCTAATTGACTTCAGTGGGTTTCTCTTTTTGATGATACAGTCCAGTAACTTCATTTTATATAGCGAAGTTCTTTGCCATCCGTGAGCGCTAAGGACAGAGGCTATTTCGCTGTGGAGAGGTTCCAGGATTTCCAGATGCTGCGCGATATCAATGAGGGTCTGTCAACCCAAGTCAGTAGTTGTGTGAATCGCCGCCATCGCAAGTGTCATTTGAGATATTGCCAGGTCGTATGCACGACCGTTGGCCTCATTTTCCAACCACTCGTTAGCATCGTCAAAGAAGCCGGTGGCCTGCGACTCGGATTCTCTCAACTTTCGCCTGCTGTTGATGATGGGCTGGATCACTCGCCGAGCCTCCTTGATTAACTCACGGACCCGACGACAACTTGGGCCGATCATGTTCACTACTGGGCATGTGGGCCATGGCCACCGCCGGAGTTGCATAATCGCGCTGAATATAGTGATGGTAAACTCTCGTGTAACATGGAGCCATTTTTCGTTGCGACAAAGCTCTGGGCCCAAAAAGACACGCGAAGAAATACGAGATACGAGACCAAGAATATATTCTTGCAGGTGAATGGCTTGTCATTCTTCGTATCTGTTAGAGAACCTTCAGACTCTGCTGGAAATTGTGTAGATGTTTCTTACCAGTGTCACGTGGATAACAGGTCCGACAATACCAGTGAAGTCTCCTCTATCAAGGGTACGGTCACCCCTGCTGCAGACAGGGTCGTCAGCATATGAAGACGCACCTCAAATCAAATATTAATATAGACAAGATGAAACCTTACACGAGCGTTTAGTGCGGTGCTTGGTGATGACCGATTGTACAATGCAAGAGTCACTAGACCCTTCACGGAACACTTCAAATCCAGGAATATTTGCATGAAACCCCTTAATTACTAAGTCAGCAGAATTACTAAAACGTTGCTTCATTCAACATACATGGGCAGTCCATTTGGAGAGGCTAAGCCTCTTGTCATTACGAATTTCGTTTGCAATTTTTGGAGACAGCAAAGTGATCCTGCCTAGGTCTGTATTCATTTGAGCAGGCGTGTCAGAGTGCATGTGAAACCAGTCTTGTAGAGCTTCAACAGCATGCAGAGTAAAGTTCATCTTGACTCTATTAGTGAGCTCGAAAGGTCTTTTTTTGATTTAGTAGAGTCTTCCTCGATTGGGTGATTTGAGTGACTTAAAAACAGCACAAGGCCCGCGAGCATACCACAACCCGTAGCGAGATCTACTACAAAGTTACGGAGGGTAGGGACTAGATGGCTAAATACAAGAGTCGCCATTTTGGTGCGGAAGGGATGGGATCGATACGGCTCAACTGTACCGCAAACGCAAACCCCGAAACCGTGCATGGGATCACTGGGGCCATGAAGGCTTTTACAAGTGCTAAGGCGGCCTAGTGTGGCATAACAAACCTGTTCGCTTGTCCTTAGAGGATCGACAGTACCGCTACTCTAGATTTTGTTCCGTAACACTAAGGAAATTTTGTATAGTAGAAAGTGTTTCTGGGGATCAGTGACGGATAGGGTTGATGGAAGAATGGGAAAACAGAAAGATACGTACACTCCCAACATTAATACCAAAAACCGTGCCAAATGAGTATATTATGTGTTCTCTCTTCTAGATAAGCGGAAGTGTGCAATTAAAATGGCGCTAGAAACTTTGGATTCTACATATGTATCATAAAAACTTGGATCAGAACCATTAGTTGTTGTACTGCACATGGTATAGCAGCGAGGATCAGCTGTGTTTTACTTATTTGCTAAGCCCACTCTCACCCAATGCTGTCTCCACACAATCTACACCCATTTCTGTCCAATATTTGGTGCAGACCAACAAAACCTCACCTTTCCTCAACCCAATATTCCCCAATCGCTACGTGGTGCCGGGATGACTTATTTTGAACCTGGATGCGTACTAGAGGCGTCTGATTTGATTGCTAATAGGCCTTCTTGCGTGTTCTTCTTGAGTGTATCGCGGCTTGCCACCAAGGAAGATCCTTGTGGTGCGTTTCACAGGCCATGCTGCCGAGAACATATACCAACATCTCAAATTTACGTGTTAAAAACATAATGTCGTTTGTTTTGAGGTGTATGTATAAGTGGATCTGTTCAACTGTAGGATAATGCTTTCCTATGGGGTTTAAACCTAGTGATTCTCTTCAATACTGATCATATTCTTGCAAGTGGGGAAGCCTTCTCCTACCTTGCGTGCCACGTATTATTACAACTGGCACATAAATAGGCAAACACACGGTACATCAGCCAGCCCCGGGTGTTGTCAGCTGGAAGCGGAAATATCGTATTTGGGTGCAACACAGGAAAGTAAATATAAAATGCAGTCCACGATATTAAATAGGGACAATACATTTGGCCTCCCTCATTTGTGATTGTTATTTAAGGAACAAGTTATCTGCCCATCCTCCCAGGTGTGTTGGCTAAATCAGAGCACGATGAGACTGTTTCTATTTTCCTGCTGTATGCTGGCGAATATGATGAATGCCACAACCAGCCACCTTAAAGCATAAAATCGCAGATTAGTCTATATTTTGGCAGGCGGTGCCATGACCAGCCTTCGAATCATAGAACTCAGAGTAGCAACCTGTTGATGCCCTCAGAGGTTTTCAAACAGCAGTTACATGGATGATATGAATCTAGGTTGGGAAGGGTATGGAATATAATTCCCAAGTCGCTTTGACGTAACTCAATGAATGGCGTTAGTGCTACCGAAATGTAAGTGTCGTAGCTCTGCTGCGTCCCGTTCATAAGGTTGCTTAAAACTGTCTGGCGCCTGAATCCATCTCTGTGCTAAAAACATGTATATCTCTTCTGACAGAATCGTAGGTGTAAGTAACGTGTTATGCATACGCTTTATGCCTGATGCCCTCACGGGACTTACTTGTGGATAAGCTAGGGGATCCTTTGGCAACATTGTCCCAGTTCTCACAGAGGAACAGATGAAACGCATCCGGTAGGGGCAATGACAAGACTGTATCTACTTCGCAATTTAGCATTTAGCTGTGCATACCAGGACTGTGGATATATACGAGATGTAGCAGTGTTTCTTCTTCTGACGCAAGGCACAGTAGTGTGTATCTTCATATTTGCGCTTAACCTGAAATACGTCAATGAGATAGAAGTGTTCAAGGTCAGTGTGCCTCCTCGGTGGCCATGAGCCGTGAGGTCAGCAGAAAAAAGGCAATATAACGGGAGATGGATAAGGCCCACTTTAGTGAACTTCAATTTATACCACAACACCCTTAATATAGGCTGGATCTTAGAGTAAATAAATAACGTTTCTCACTACTATTTGAAGCTTTTAAACCATGAAAATAAAATTCAACTAATTTAACTACTAGTGAAATAGAAGTGATTTACTAGGGCAATTTCTTATAGCATGTCCAACTATCCCAGAGCCACTGCAGCGCTGTGGAACTTGTCGGCGAGGTGTTGGAGTAGGTTTCTTAGGCTGGTGAATATACTGGCATACAGGGAGTGGAGGGGAGGTTAGTGAGTGAAGCTTCTCCGCCTGTAACAGTTATGGTGAGGTTAACAAAATATGTATAACCGCAGCGGCTAAGCCCTAAAAAAAATGTGGTTAACTGCGGTTAACTGCACAAACACTAAGGCAATAATAAACTAAGCCTACTTGGGTAGACAGTTTAGCAGGGGTGGTTAATGCGGGGAAGTTAATCAACTCTATTATGTTTATAAAATGTTGGCTGGGGATTCCGGCTGGCGGTACCTCCTGATTGGACCGGCTAGTAGGATGATCCGGCCGACAAGCGTTTAGGTGTTAGTCCTAATCTAGCTCTAGAAAGTATCAAGAAATAATGTGAAACATTGATGATTCTAAGAAGGATGAGCTCCATAAAAAGCTCCAAGATAAAATAACATAAATTTAAAAAATTCCTCTCTAATATTTTCTATATCTTTGGAGTTTAGTAGTTCCTATTTAGTAACTGACCCAAATAGTATTAGGGCATACCTAATACCACTCACGGAGCACAGTAATACCCGGATCTTACACTTTAATTATTACAATATGACTTTGAAAGAGTGTGTGTTAATAGTTTTCTATTGGCTAAGGTGTGCAGATTAGCATAGTCAACAAATAATTTTACTTCTTTATAAGGTCTACCGTCAAAGAGAAAAAGCTAAAAATGCGGGATTATTTTAAAAGAGGAGACAGAATATACAGCTTTCTTATTTGCTCGTTGTATCCTGATATCTTTCTCAAATTGGGTGTTGTTAAAGTACAACTAAGTGTATTAATGTTTTTGTGAAGTTTGATAATAACAAGTGACGCACCTTAGGTTGTTGTACCTCTTTGTCAAATGAACATTTATCTGGCCTCTCAGAAAATAGTCCTGTCTCTCCCTTCTGTGGCAAAATGATAAGAATCGTGGTACGTCATAAAGGAAAATCAAGCCCCAGTGTCTTAAGTGGCTGTTATATATAATGCAGGAAAAATGACACTAAGTAGGGGGCGCTTCCTTGTGTATATCAATGACCATATAAGTATGCAAATAGAATGCTATCTAATGATGGCCGTGGAATACTGAGTCGCAAAAATTTTCACTTTAAAAGAAAAATAACCAGAGACAACTGGAACATGCTTATTGTATTGTAGCTGTGGACATGGCTTGTGCCATTGTTTAAGAGGCTATCAAAAAATGGCTCGTAAAATTACTTGTTGCTGGTACACAGTATATATAAACCACATACTTCTAGTGTCCTTCAGTTATGGTTTCGTTAGCTCTCACAACCTCCTCCATACCCTATGTTAGGGGTTATTGCATTTTTACCTAGGTACCGGCCGGCCGTTCCTCTGAGTTCTTGGCCTAATGTAGAAGAAATGCTATTTAACTGTTACGACCCCAGTGCAATGTAATTTACTGAGATGCTTTCTAAACTAACCCGATCTGTTCAGCCTACCCACCTGCTGGCATTCTATCAGCACTGGATGCATGGTTATGGCGTGACATAGATAGGATTCTTGCTTTGCTGGGGGTGTAGAATAGGTAATCTAATTTTCACAAGGGAAGATACACCGAGGTTGGGCAAATCAAAATAAGTTAGATACTAAGCTGTACTAGTAATAGTTTTTGCGTATAGGATACTTCTCCCTATTAAATCTGCCATATTTGAAGTTAAGGTTACGAGGATCACCGTTCTAAGCGCATTAGGCTGAAATGTAGCTAGTGGTTTAGCTAGGGTAACCATGTTCCTGAAGACGGATAGACTTCTTTTTCGACAATTATTCCCTTTTCTAGCCTTCTACCTTGAGCTATAATTGGGATCCTTTTAGGAATAGGCCGATCTTAGCGCTGGTTAAGGCCCGAAGTTCCATTATAGTAGGCTCTTTTCTCCCACGACAGTGTTTGATGCACGTTTGTTTGGCCTCTTGATCCATGGTAGTAGGCGCTTTGGAGAACAGACACCTATGAGATGACCACGTATCCCACCGGCATCACCAGAGGCCATATCAATCGCTTTGTAGGTGTCTACGCTCGCAAACTGCAAGGATCATCCTAAAGGAGGACTTAGAGGTACAGGCTACCAGGGCACTATAATGTATATTGACTTCCACGCCACATTATTCCGCCCACGAGGTTTGTAAAACAAAGTTTCAACCTAGAGGAAAGTGTTAGTAACTCTAATCCAACTCTACTAACCTTCTTTCCATTTGCCACGATCTATATAGTTGTCCTACGCAGTGTTATGTCCCAAAGAGTAGAATGACGATATGTTGCTTAGGTTGAGATATTGGTATAATATCTCCTTCGGGGGGTATAAGGTCGCCTCTGGAGAGGATCAATGGTGCATTTCTAACCTTTAATTCTAAAGGCAACACCCAAAAGCTCGATTAGTAAACGTCAGAGAAACAGAAAACGACTTTGTACGGTTGATTTATTCGCCTGTGAATGAAACATGTACAGATGGATCTTCTATTCGGATCAAACCACAGTCCCGAGAATGCATTACATACATTCCTCGAGTCACTCCCGGCGCATAGCCACCTAGATAGCCTCACGGAAATCCTTACCCTCGCCACTGACACCGATGAACGTGTAGCAGAATTCATGGATGTTGTCTGGCAGCACATCTGTCGGAACAGTCTCTGGTCCTCCAAGTATAACAATTTCCAAGATTATTGTGATGCAATCGACTATAACTGTACTGTTTGGCCAGTTATCCAGAGACATAAGAAAACAGATCGCGCCAAGAGAATCAGTGCCCAGACAATACTCCGACAATGGAATGTCCCGGTGCATTCCGCGATTCCGGTCAACTTGCAACCGCCGTTCTGGAGCAAGCACTTGCTAAGCCTCATAGCTACTCTCAGTAGGCATACAACCCTGGATGAAGCATGTGTCCTGTTGAGAACAAGCGTTGGGCAGCGGCCACGGAGAGGCCGCAACCATCATCTGCTTCTAGCAAGTGACGTACAGCGTGTCTTAGACCATCTAAATGTTTCTCGGAAAGGAGCTCACAGGAGTAAGTGCTCTAAACGCAGTTAAGGGGCCCAAAAATCTAAATGTACTTAGCCGCGAACGAGAGTAACGGCTCAGATGCATATCACCCTTTGTACCAGGGAGTTCCCGTCAGTAAACAACACAGTCAGAGAGGCATTGCACAACCAGGTATGACTGTTTATCGACCTACCTCGTCGGGAAATTCGTCGCCCCAGACTCGCTCAACAAGTATGTTTAGCGAAGAGTTAGCTGGAAGTCCCGAAACCGTCTCAAGCGAACTGGAATCTTATGCGGATGACACTAGCCAGGCGAAGCTACCATCTTGTCGCTGTGCTCCGATCTGCCTTCCCCTCGTACTGTTACTATCATCACCCAACCATTATTGTATCCAGCTACTTGCTGCAGAACTGGTGAATTGGGCACACACAATCTCATGGAGGAGTCTCTGTTATGAACATCTTAAAATCCTTGCCAAGCTTGTTACACAGGAATATGTTTCGGACAGAAACAGAGTGGACATAATTCACACCCTGGAAGGCTCCTTGGCACTGAACAGTGGACCCAGTCATGACTTGAGGTGCAGTAAGTTGACTCAGAAGTATTGGAGCTTTTGTTCGTGACGCCTAATAGGGGTAGTCATCGAGGAAGACGAATTGCATACGCTACAGATTGAACCGTTGGACTTACTCTGCCGTTACGCGGGACTGCCGGATGGCATGTGGGGCTGGGAAAGAGACGGCCTCCTCCACATACCCGGATTTTTTGACTATATGGAAAGGTTAGGAGTTTTCAAACGTGTTCGCATGATTTTGGGTGAAGATAAGGCTACACAAAGCGCCAGCAATCTGCCTAGCCAATGTAGCAGCCCAATATCCCTCTGCTACAGTTTATTGGCACAAATGGTACAACAGGACCCAGCCTATTACGCAATCCTTGTCTCCTGTCGCCCCGACAAGAACTGGAAACTTATTCATCGGCCCCGGCGCAGTGGACACACCTTTACCTTTCGTGAGAGAGATGTTGCCCTTGGTGTATCAACCGAGCGTGCAAGGTCGCTAGTGAATGGCGATGGAGCCAGCGATATTCAAAGCACAGTTGTTCTTCCCGGTGAACAATCGCTACAAACTGTTCAGCTAATTCCTACTTCCCAGCAGTATCTTCCAAAATTGGTCGACAAAATTGAAAACCAGGGAAGGCAGCCTCCATCCAGCCTACCCGACCTGGCAATTTTGGCATACGATAAGGTTGCCGAGCAGGAATTTGGTACTCCCCAGAACATCACACTGGGGCATGGTGATCTAATCTTGGCTTCGCCAAAGACTTTGAGGTTGCCACAAACGTTTTCTGCTTCCAATCTCCTCAATATGTCTCAAAGTGGGTTGGGTAATGATTTTAATACCCTAGAGAATGGCCGTGATGGTATGTGGACACGCCTATCAATTATCAGCAATTGCCACCGACTAGGCGATAAGTACCTAGGAGCAGATGAAGGTTGGGCAGATTCCATTGGGTGTGATACTAGTGTGATAGATAGCTTTAGAATGAGTTACGCCAGTGCTCTAGGGGAGGCTCTCGTTGGTAGAAGGGAGTGGAGAGACCCAAAAGTTATACTCGAACGCAACCTCGTCCTTGGAAATGATATATTTGGTGCTGTAGAGTTTGTGGGGGCAATCCGTGAACAGCTAGCAGCCGATTTCCATAACACACTGGATCTCCTCCGTTTGGGACAGGGCAATGATGGGTCTGGTAAGTTTGTTTGCAATACTAGTCTTTAGCATCCGCCTACTCCACTAAAAAATTATATTGCAACAGGCAAGCCGCCTGAGCCTGTGTTCATTAGTTTGACCTTTTTTCACGATAAAATTTTGCTTCCTAACAATAACCGCCTTGTGTTAGTGTACATCATGAAGTATACATATTTCAAATTGTGTCCTTGAGTCTCCAAAAATTTACATATCGTGGCTGTAGATTGTCTACATTACCTTCCACTGGTTTATTCTTACTACAACTCCTTCCATTTCTTGGGGACTGTTGAACGTTAACTGTTGTTTCCCATATTGCGCATGTGCAATGTAGAACCTAGGCTAAGGCGCGCTTTGATCTGAAGTTTTGATAAAGAGTACTTTGTTGGAAGGTTTATATCACTCCCTCTGCTGCTTTCCTGTTATCGTGAAAACCTTTGAGAGATAGTAAGCTCGTATAGCTTCTCCGGGTTCTGTTTGCTCTCCCGGATCCCGCCTGGGTTACATGATATTACATTAACTAATTAAGTTTGCTTAAGGCTTCGGTAGTTCTTCGTAGCTGCCTGGCTGCCGCCAGCGATGAACACTATGTCAATAGCGGCCTGTTCTGATAATACTACATATAATAATCCCGAAGGTACGGTATGATTCAAGGCAGCTAGTGGGTATGTGGGGCTTGTAGGAAATCTCACACAACGTTCAGAAATAGCCAAGCAATTTTTAAGCGGGTAGCTATTTCTGAATTCCATATAATATGGTACTTATTATAACCGAATATCTAGAAAACTAAAAGTAGTAGTGATAATATCAAAGATATATCTATTTATAAGATATATAAGTATGCTATATATTTTATAAGGTTTTTGATATTTTTATTTAAAGCTTTAAATAGTATTTTAGATTTGTGCTATCTCCGATTGAGATATTCGAATACTATTTCATAAAGTATGTCGAGACATTATGGGTCACTCACTTACCAATTTCTCTATATTTTAGTTTTGTTCAGCACTAATCCACAAAACGCCAATCCTTGGTAAGTTTCCCCTTAAAATACCGTACCAAGGTGGTGTTCAAAATGATAAACTCCAGATGGGTGATTTGTTGGGTCTAGTTTCCAATGTATAAACGTCATCAATATCTGTAAAGTAACTGTTTAGAAACAGATACGTTACCATCAGCCCATGGGTTGGATCAACAAAACATAGAGGGTCGGCTAATGAGTGTTACTGATTTAGGCAGGAGCCAGGCTTTGTGAGATATAACACCTGCAATAATAACACGATAATTATCATAGTGAATGTGCATCAAACTTATTATAAATATAGCTGGGTAGTTTTCGGATGTACGTATATTTATTGCCCAACATGCCAGTGCTCTATATGCAGCATATAGGACTGGGCGGCAGTGCCTCGAACATCAAATAAGGCAGCCATCCTGCTCACTGCTGAGAAGTCATTACTTCATATTTGGGGATCTCCGTAGAATACTCACGCCACTATATAACATGCACTGGAATTGGTTACCAATTTTGCTTCCTGCATCTCCAGCAAGCCACCACTAGCTATTCTGCGACGTTCCACCTGGGGATAAGGCTGCTAGAAGGCCGGTTCCCACTGAGAGACAAAAAGGCTTGAACTGCGTATAATGCGCAATGACGTGTAGACATACCAAACATGTCATTGGCCGAGTCGGCTCTACATGGAAGAATGCTCGAGCCTTGAGATAATGACTCTCCCAAGAGTCAAAAAATAGTCGATCCATAGGGTGCGCAAGTTTGGTATGTTCTATGTGCGCCTACCAAACAATCCATTAACTCCTCGTTAGATTAACTATAGTTTCTGCTACCCTTTATTCTGTGATTCTCAGTGTACAACTACCTGAATTCTCTATTATATCCGATTTCCCTTAGACCCTTAGCCTCCAGCTTTGAAGAGCATTGTTCTAATTGGCCCTCAAGTCTAGTTTATATTTCATAGTATCTCTTGGATAACCATATATGTTCAATAATTCTCGCCACTATATTGGTAGCTTATGACAAATCTCCAGACCAAGTCCGACTTGCCACATGTTCAAATCATATTTTCAAAGAGGTGTAAGTTCAGACCGAATTTTAAAAGGATTCTAGGTGCTTGCATCCGGCAAAGATGTGAACTACTTCCATCCAGCTGGCAGGGCAGTGTTTACCATTGGGTCAATAGTTGTGAAGACTTGGTACGTAGGACCGCCACCAAGCACGTGTCAGCCTCAGGTAGCCAATGTTAACGACTCTATCAATCCTGTATTTTCTCGGTGTTGTAGGGTATCTATGGTCCGAGCATGTTATGCGAACGATTGTGTACGACAGCAAGGCGGCCAGATGTGGCCACCCGATAAAGAATGTTGGATATCGTAGAAGTCCGCTAAACAAATAACAGGCAATTTGCATAGCGCTGTAACAATAGTTTAGATGAGATGTGTAAAGCCATCCGGTCCGGAGAATATCGTGCATGATTATAGTGGTACGTGATATCGCGTGGCGTACGGTATAAATAAAATGCATTCATATACCTGCTACCTCCACAAGGCAGAAAAATAGCAGAGCATCATCGTATGCGGAAGCACCCAAACACTAGGAATGCTATATTCTTCAGTTGCTGTCGTGTTATCCGCTTCAACACAACTAACAAGCAGTGAAAAGCAGTTGGTATGTCACAAAAGAGTAACTATAAGGCAGGGCGATATTTTCTTACAAGATGCCAGACTATTCGATTCAAACGCAATATACATATGCTAGAGCCAAACGACCAGGGGAAGCAGGCCTAGGGACGGATTGTCAAGGGTATCTACTATTCATGGTACCAGTCAACTAGGTAAGGGTACGTAGGCTAAAGGAGAGAGAAAGACCAAAGGCAGGCAGTAGATACTATTCAGACAGGAGACTGATTCTTGACCTCCTACTACTACTAACGATTCGTTAACTTATAGCTGAAGGCTCTACGCCTAAAGGTTTCAGAATTTCCATTGAAAACCAAACTGTCGTATGGCCTGATGTTCCTCATCGGCGGCCAATTGTCCATGCACCTGGGTCAGATTATCCTGTACAGTCATCAGGCCGAATCGCTATTCGATCTGTGACAGATCTTGTGTTGTAGAACCGGATCAACAGTGAATAAAGCAGACTTGGTGCCTCAGGCAAGATTCAACCTAAGCCCTGACAATAGAGGGCTAGACATACATGACCTGTGGGTTGACCCGTCCGCCTGTGGGCCGGGGTAGTCAATTACCCCGCCCGACATGGGCTTTCGTATGCACAAACCCAGCCCATTTCTTGGAGGGTTGAGCCAGGTTGGGCCGGGTTTCCTGGGCTGGGCCCAACAAGTCTACTATTAACGGATTGAAGAGGCAAAATACAATGTAGTATTAGAAAGTCTTATAGAAAATATAGTTATTCAATATTCATACAAGCTGCAGCGACAATGAGAGGCGTAGATAACACTTATCTATTTAGATGAATTAGCAAGAAATGACTTGAAGTTATAGTTCTTGGCAATAAGTCTGAGTAATTGGCATGTTTTCAGAAGCCTGTCCTATTTTACCTCCCATATTAAATTATATATATTTTTAGCAATTTTAGTAGGGGCCTGATATGGAAGACACTAGATTAGGCAGACATTTTGACCCCTGTAGTAGTATTAAATTCTTCAAACATAAATGGAACAGCTTCTGAATCATCGGGTATGTACAAACAGCGCAAACACCAGTGAATTCGTCACAAAAGCACCTCTGGAACGCATACGGCCCGACAGAGACAACAACCTACTCTACCATTCATGAGGTCAAAGCCGAAGAGTTTTGATATGGCTCTCTAGGTATTGGTAAGCCTGTTGGCAATACTAAACTGTGTCTTGTGGATGACAATCTGAAGATCATTATAAAGCCCGGCAAGACAGGCGAAATCCTTCTTGGAAGACCTGGCTTATCTACAGGGTATACCAACCATGCAGCCGAGAACAAAAAGCGTTTCTTTAGTATCAATAGAATTAGATATTTTCGAACAGGTGATCTAGCAAAGTACCATCTAGCCATTCCAGTTGCACTTGAGTTCATTGGTCGAGCGGATCACCAAGTCAAGCAAGATGGATTCCCTCGAAGTGAAGACGAAGAAACAATGCTCGTTGCATTTGTGGTACCTGCCGTTGCTAATACTGTCCATTCTCGTAGACTTTTCGAATATTTGGAACAGCGATTGCCATTTTATATGATTCTGAATGATTTTGTCTTCTGCTCAGAATATCCTTTAACAGAGCATAATAAGTCGACTGGAAAAAGTTGGAGCAGCAATACAGGGAGGAAGGGACAAGCAAAAAGCCGCCTATAGGGATCAAGGGAATGGCACTGCTAGTGTCACAAAGCACATTTTGTCATCGATATTAAGCAAAATCGAGATCGACGACTAAGGCGACTTCTTTGCATTTGGAGTACGTGCCTTTTGGTTCCGGACTGCTGAGCAAATTCCTTGGGTGCTGGGAGAGGAAGGGATTTTACCACGCGCCACAAATGAGAAAATAATATCATCTCTACCCAAGGCCCTTACCAGGACCATCTTATCAGGTATGTAGATTGTCATTGCTTTACTTATGGCCTTATTTAGACCCTTGGTATTGTACCTTGGTTGTAACTCTTAGGAGGTTTATCTACTCTTTGACGTTCTCTTATTGTTTTTTTTCCTAGCTACGATGAAAGAGACAAGTCGCAAAATGTTATTCAAAACAACACCTGGGTTACTAGACATGAAGCCATGCGGCAATGGATTGAGCGTAATTCACAAGACTAACTAGTACCTTATAGTATCCCAGTTAAATAAGGGATGCGCAGAGCTGGGTGATGGTCTGCCATCAATAAGCCTAAAGGAACCCTTTTCACTGTATGACAATCTCCTATCATGCCTAGGATCGCTGTGTATCTACAGTTATGTGTTGCCGGGCGGGTGTTGATGCGAGTCAGGCAGAATCCCGTGTATCGCCAAGATAATCGTAACAATACCATGAGCCAAATGTCACTCCCGGAGCACAGGGTTACCCGGATCTCATATTGTATTTGTTCTCTTGGGGGCAGGGACGGTAAAGTGCTATTTTATTGGCTAATCTGAGCAGATCAGTGTAGGGGCAGAACACAGTTAATATCTGCCTCTTTGTGGGTTCTACCGTCAGGTGAGAAAGGAACAGAATAAACAGCACACAACCTACAATAGTAGGGAAACGGAACGTATGGCTACCTGAATTAACCTATAGCATCCTGGTTTCTTGCTGAAATGTATTATTTTCTTGAAACCCCATAATAATGAGAACTACAAACATTAAATTTACACCTTCAGAGAAAGTGAGTGTGTCCAATCAGACCTCTCGGAAACTAGTTCCGTCTCAAAGTTCTCTAGTTTACTTTACAAAATGGGACCACCGAGCCTCGATATCTTAGCAAGAATTATAAGCATTGCAGAAAAACCACTCTTGAGATAGGGTTTACATATTCAGATTGGTGATTTATCGGTGTGCGAATAGAATGTTATCACCTCCTGATGTTTAGGGAATACTGTAGAGCAGATATTTGAATTTCCGCAGGAACATAGCTAGGTACAGCTGCAACGAATTTTTCCCTTTTCTTTTCCATTTCTTTCTTTCTTTTCATTTTCTAATTATTTCATACTTTATAGGCACTATTGAAGAGGATTCACTTCAATTTTAGAAAAAGTAAGAGTCCCTGTTTCCAGCACTTACAAGTGCTGCACGCGATATTCTCTGTGTTCCAGTAACAGTCGCAGGTGTTAAGCGACAATTCAACTCTGCACGAGATACCTGCCACTACCGTCGCGGGTTACTGAAGCCTTAAAGCATTCAAGGTCTTATAATATATCTGTGTTCAGCTAGATATGAGCTTGAGAGGCATTAACCAGAGGCAGTGAAGCAGGATCCTTTGAGAAATGGCACTAATAGCCAAGTGGATAACACTGACAGTATTAGCAACAGTGAAGGAAGTGATCCTTAGCATTTACCAAGGAATAGTGAATTGATTATCAAGATTGTTAGCCAAAGTACACGGCAGGATAAATTCTTAAAAAGGCCGAATAAGAATAAGGAGGCGGGTAAGCCTCCTTGCAATAATAATAAAAGATAGTGGATAGGATGAAGATGACAGTATCATTCTTCCCTTACTAGTAGGAAATTTCGAAGCGCTCATCAATGAGGGTATGTAAGCCGTCCAAATGCTTAAGAGACTATGAAATATACTAGAATAATGTTTATAACACTCCCTTATCAAGAATCTATCAGAAATTATATCAAACTATCATTGGTACTGTAACCTGAATACTCTTAAATACGGAAAAATACTTCATAACTCTATACATGTTAGAATTACCCCGCGCGGGCGGCTTTTTACTCTCCAGCCCATCCACTGGACGAACACCACCGTACTATGTCCGCCCACTGGACATGTTTGGATACTAGTTTGGACGCGTCCATCGATGGACTCTGTCGAGATCTACCTTAGATTAGGTCATTCCACAGCACCACGGCACCAGGTTTCCAAGAACTCTGACATTAAGGCTTGACCCACGCTACACAGTTGCAGATCTCCTGGACGAATATCCGGGCGTAACATCTGGGCCGAACCTTGCCAGAGGCATCAAGATTGCTTCATTCACTGTTAATCTGATCTTATAACACAGCGATTCCCTACAGTTCCTGTACGATAGCTTTTTTCTTCTCCGCATTTGATGTTTCATTGGATCGCCACTTTAGATATAATTCAGACATATAAGGTGTACAGGATCATCACAATAGTATCCGGTCATCTCCAAGAATTATCTAGGTCTTTTATTACTCTATCATGGGCAAGGCAACATCTTGGTGCTGCATAATTCTGCGTATCCTTATATACTTGCCTATTCTCTGCTTTATTGCTCTTCTTGGAGTGATGTTGTTCGCCACTTTACTTGATATCTTCTATAAGAATCATGCGGTCGAGAACATACTGGAAGATGCACCAATGGGTTCAAGACGTCTCCGCCAAGGAACAGGTTCCTCATGAAGAGGTGAAATAAAGAACCTGAAGACTCTGCGAAATCGAACACCTGAAATCAAGGGTTTTTTTCTTCTGGGTATGACTTCCTATATATATGCTCGGGGAGTATGAGTGACAAGATTTACTAGGACTCAACATTACGATATTACCGCGACATCCCAGGTCCGCCTTAAGAGAAACAGGGGGGAACAGAACAATGTAGGCCATGGGCGGAGAGCTACAGCGAAACTTTTGTAGTATTAATTTCCCTAATCTTATTATTAACAATTAAAGGACCATTTCAGATAAGTATTGGTCTTCATCTCTACAGAATGTTCAATAATACTTAATTTTCCTTTTTAGCTATAATGCGAACTAGATGTATTCTCTTCTCTGTTCTCTGCTTTTTAAAAGTATGTTTCCAAGACACGCTAAATTGTTGTCTTTGAAACTTCTTGTGGGTGTTGACTTTTCCGGATGATTGTAGATATAAGATAGACTAATTGATTTTATTAGGACAAAATAGAGTGTCTAGGCTTTTCAGACAATTTTTTTATGAGTTTGAGATGTCACAGACCTATATTCTTTGAAGTGATGTCTCATGATCGTATGGAAGGAGTAGTCCACTCACTGAATGCATATATCAGACACCTCAAGGGCTGAGGCCTTCCACCAAGGGCTTAAGCTTGTAAAGGTGCTGAAGTTACCCATCTCTAGGCAAAGGGTGGCTGTGAAATTAGACCATAATATCAAGTTAAAAGATATCAGACATGCCACTAATTCATAACATCCACCGTCTCTGGCTAGATAAAATTGAAATAGTTTAGATAACAGCTAATTGTCCTAATTATTCGCCTGTACTTTTTAAGAGCCGTTTACTTATGTTGTGATGTGTTGTATGCCGATTTAAAGCTTTTACTACATGACTCACATAGAACTGTTATAGCTAATCATTAGGTCATTAGTACCTATGACTTGTGCAGATGTTCAGGGCAATTTGAGGGGGTGGCCATAGACCTCGCCATGACCTTCATGAGGGTCTATGATTCAGACCCTCCACCCGGCCCTCGTGAGGTTGGTTCCAACCTCAGCGACAATTAGCCGACCCTCAACTCTTAGAGGGTTGCTTGAGGGTCACCCATTAAGACCCTTCTTTACTTGCATATGGAAATTAGAACAGCTCCCGCTGATACAAACTTGGCCAACACCCGGGGCTTCTGTAGGGCCCGAATGTGAGAACTCCCCAATAGAAAATTAAGGGTAGAACTAAATTCGAGAACCTCCAGGGCTCTGCCCAGTGCCCACTAGGGTGATGGCAAAATATATACTTCACAGCCACATGATGTGCATTCGCAGCAATGAGACTACAGTACAACACCTCGATTTCAGTAATGTCAGATGACATTATCGAGCTACGCATATAATAATAGCAGTTACGGTCATCATTCGAAGTACGGGTTGCTTGAAATCTCCAATACGCGCCCAATACTCAAACGGCCTGTACTGACTTGACGGCTTTTGTTGGTTATCCTCAATAGTCTACCTCTGAAGTGGAAACAGATCAGCCATGGATAAAAAATATACCGAAGCCCAACTCGCTGGTTTAAAAATCCCTGTCTTCAGCCTCCCATGGCCTGGAAATATTTCACCAGACGTTTCCCTGGTAGTGGAAAGGATGATTGAGTGGGCCGAGAACCACAGCTTATTTGTCAATGAAACGTACCGCGAGCGGGTTAAGCGAACTCGCTATGCTTGGCTTGCCGCGCGCTGCTATCCGAATACTGACCGCGAATTGTTACAGGTTCTTGCAAATTATTTTGTCTGGTATTTTCTAGTCGACGACTTGTTTGTTGATTGAGTAGAAACAGTTAGCCCTAGAATGTTCCTGAATCTTACCGCGATGATTGGCGTCCTAGATATGGATTGTGCGGCAGAACAGCCTGTCTATGGAGAACTCCTGGCTCAACATCTGTCAAGTGCTTCGGCGTCTATTGTCGCACGAACATTTTGAGCGATTCGCCCAGGGAATGCGGCTCTGGGCAACCGCAGCTGGGCTCCAGATACTCAATCACTTGCAGGAAAAGCCAGCAGGAGTCGCTCAGTATGAAACAATTCGGCGCCATACAAGCAGCATGAACCCTTGCTTGGCACTGTCAGATATTGTGAATTGTGGGGCAGCCAATCCAAATGAATATATTGCCCAGATGTTCAAAAGCTTTGCCAGCATACGAACAACATTGTCTGCTGGACTAATGATATTCAAAGTCTCCTTGTGGAAGCGCATCAGCCTAGACAGTTTTGGAACATGGTTAGCACGTATGCGAGCTCTGGCAGAACATTTCAGGAGAGCATTGATTGTACAGCTGCAAGAGTAGAGATGGAGATTAACAAGTTTAAGAAACTGTCTGATGCTATAACACAATCTGCTTGTAAGGAGCTATGTGGCCTTATTGATGGATGGGAATACTGGATATGTGGATATATGGATTGGGTCGCACATGATACTCAGCGCTATGCACAAAGATTTGCTTCCACTGATGCTGATGATCGCAATGTGCTGGGATAATGCTCATGATTCACCACAGCGTCGGTTGGCAAATTTTATTTCTTCCAGAAGCCATAAAGTCAGCTATGTTCCTGAAAGAAAGTTTCGCTAAAAGATTGCAGAACATGCTTAATAAGGCATCGTGGTTAACTAAGTGATTGGGGTAGACTCGGCGCAGCCGGCCCAAGAATGTCTATCAGATTAGGCTCAATTCAGAAATATACAAGATTAGATCAAAAGTTGTGAGTAGGAGCCATACAAAGGAGAATATCGCCCTCCGGCAAATGGCATGCGATCTCAGGTTTATTCACGGCGTGCAGCTTAAACTACGTAATGTACCAACCTTGCCCTCTGCCTAGAGCTCGGGACTTGGACGTACATAGCAACGCCGAGGTCTCCTACACGCCGATATCCTGTAGTCCTAGAGCTCTCTGCACAAAAAAATAACTTTATCTTCTCTCTCGGACTGATCAGTACGAGATGCCCCAAAAAATTGGACCTGGGATAAACAAACTCAATAATTAAACAAATTAGTTGTTAACCACGTCCAAGGTCACCCGTATCACTGGACATCAACGTTTGATGGGGCCAGAGTCCAGATTCATTTGGTCCCTGATCTTCACTGAACGTTTCTCACTATGTGCATCTGCGTGATTCTCAAGGATGCTCTAGGGGTTCAGTACTTTATCCCCTCTAGATAGTAGGATTACATCTCAATAGTCATGATATCATAGAAAAGCTCCTGACTTCATTCCCGCATCGTACCCGAATCATAGGGTTCCCGGGAATTATCCTTTACACACCGCTATAAGCAGAATAGAATAAAGCAGCGCCTACAAGATAGTAATTATAAATAGATTACTATAATTACTTATATTTACACGGATAGAACAGCTCTACTCCCAGGCGGTTTCAAGTAATCTACAAGACACTTAATTCCCGGATTTTGATACTATAAAGCACCACTGCTTCTTTATCTCTTTAGCAAGCGGTTGGACAAATAACAATATTGGGTTTGTATAGAGTTGAGATCTATTCAATCTGGAGATAAAGAGCAAGGTTAGACTTGTTAGGCCTAGCCCACGAAACCCGGCCCAACCCGCCAAGAAATGGGCTGGGTCGTCCAATGCAATAACCCGGCATGGGCCGGGTTACTTCCCTGGGTGGCCCACGGGTCAACGGGTTAGCCCAGGGGTGGTTTGCATATAATCTTAACCCAAACCCAACGGGCTGGGTTGTAGAACCTGAAAAACCCGGCCCAACCCGCGGGCCTAACAAGTCTACTCCACAGGCAGATACAGAGATTTGTATCTTGTATAGAGGCTAGTCAGGTGGATAAAGAAGGCCCAATATTTCCATATTGACTAGATACTCTGGATAATGTGGTGTAATTACTCGAATAGCTTCAAATTTATCGTTTGCGTGGGACTTATCGTATGCCTGGGGCAGACCAACACGTCGAAGGGCGGATGGGGCTGCTGACCAAAGAGACGGATACTCGCTGATATTCACTACGAACTGAGCAGCCTGTATAGGGACTGCGCCGTCACAATATGGTAAAGTTCTCTTGGTTAAGATCTTGATAGGCTGGGCCACTATTGATACTTGACATGTAAAAGAGAAACGATAAGGTATATAATAATTAGTATAATGATATAAAGCTCAAACAATATGACATTGGTAGCTAAAGTCTAGAACACTAAACGTGGGGAGGAAAGAAGTAACACAGGTGGTGTACGCTGGCTGCTCTGTATACCAACACGCGTCCTGTAACCCACCAATCAAAGCTCAGAGAATCTAGTAACTGTTAAAGCTGTCTCAAAGCCGTCACACATACTGTTTAATAGCTTGGCTCCATTTTGTGGCATCATTTATAACATATTACTTGTCACAGATTGAATGGTGATTCGGCCTGATGGCCGTACAGGATACCCTGACCCAGGTGCATGGACAATCGGCCACCGATGAGGAACATCAGGCCATCAACGGTTTGGTTTTCAACGGGAAATCTGAACCCTTTACGTACAGAGTCTTCAGCTATAAATTAGCGAATAGTTAGTAGTAGGAGGAGATCAAGAATCAGTCTCCTGTCTGAATAGTATCTACTGCCTGCCTTTGACCTCTCTCCCTTCTAGCCTACGTATCCTTACCTAGTTGACAGGTCTTCTACCCTGAATAGTAGATATCCTTGACATTACTAGTTGCATTGTAGTTTAGACTCGACAATCACACGTAGCAGGTAATGCTGGAGAAGTTAATTAAATTGTACATATTCACGAGACTCTCGGTAAACTCGAGGGTTTATCTACAAGATGAAATTAATTTCCAATCAATATAACTTTATGTGTACTAAATTTCATATATGAAGCTCTGCATTTTAACTGATTAACCCTCGATTTATATTAGTCTAGATATTTCTAGAGTGAAGTAAAATTGCTATTCACGCTATATCTAAGCGTTATTTCTCACCATGCTTTTTGTATTGAAACCATGTCAATGTGTCAAATCATGTTGCAGTTTCGGCAACAAAAGAGTATTTAACGCAGGACTCAAAATAAATAGTGAATGTGCGATAAAACACAGATAAGTAGGCAGAGATTACACCAGTGTCAGGACCCCCCAAGCTATCTTGCAAGGCATTCATGCACAACAGGGTGCAGCTCTGCTCGTACTCCGCAATTTGGCGCAAGCGCACTCTCAGGTCATCTTCAGATTCTGGAGTTGGTGCAGACCAAAACTCAGGGAAATTCGCTGAATTGAGATTTGACTCTAGATGATCCCGGGAGAGGCTTCCATAATCATTTCAAAGCCTACTCTCGGTAGCAATATGTTTCGATAGCTCTTCAGCAAGATACTTTTCTTTAGCGGTAATAAAGACATCTCTACCGTTCTCCAGCTGACATATAAAATATTTAAAATTAAGTGGACTCATGGCATGGTGTATAGCAGTCTGTTGCAGCCAGGAATAAAAGAAGTCTTCTGTTTGGATTTGAACAATCTCTGATTTGGTAGGCATATATCACCACCTCAGCTGGATATTGGATTTCGCTTGCTGGAAATTAGCTGCAACCGCAACCTTCAGTTCCTTTCGCAGATTGCGCCGGTCATATTCGCTGGCATTCTCAATGCACGAATTATTTAAAATAGACTTCATCCACCTTTCTAGAAGCTGTTCGGCTTGCTTGATGTTGAACTTGATCTCCTCAGTCAAATCCGCAGAATCTTGTTCAGGTAAAGATCTATTGTCATTATCCGTTTGCGAGCCATCTCTTTGACTGCAAACCCGATCAGCGAAATTCGCTATAATGTTTAGTGCAGTATCTGGCAACTCCAAGAGACATGTATCCATATAATGGTCCTCTTGGTAAATTCCGGCGGCAAATTCGACCATGTTGTAGATTCTGCTCGTGCTCAGGAGATGGTCCGCTCTGGAATTATTTGCAAAAACCCAAAAAAATGCTGTATAATCTAGATATTTTTCCCCCAGCACCGCTCTTTGCGAAGAATGATCCAGTGTTCGTAGGTTGTACTTAAAGAGGAAGGCCTCTATAACCGAAGCTTGGACAACCCATCGAGATGCCTTCATCACAGATGGCAGCTGTTCAAAATATTCGGTCAATTTGTGTATTCTTGTATATGGCAAATTGAGAAGTTCGCGTATTATATTTTTCAAATCGTCAAAACGATTGTATGTTTTCATAGCAGCCTGGATATAAGAGTCGGAGACAGTTGGTATCGCATATAACGTCTTGTCTAGCCAAAGCTGATCGTCCATTCCTGATCTTTCACTTTTGCTAAGGATGAAGTGTTGCCCTCTGTCAATGGCACATTGGACCTCGCTCGAGATGAGCGCAGTGAAGCTCAAACAAGCCACATTTTTCAGAATCAGGACGGCATATGCAGTCTCCTCAGCAGAACTGGAGCTTCCCCAAGACCCGTCCTGATTTTGAGTAAGTAGTGTTCGAATGAGAGATTGGAAAAGGGTAATTGGGATTTGAAAGCTCATAAGCTCCTCCGGCAATGCGGCAATGTGCCCTTGTTTCCAGGACTCAAAATATAGCATTAATGCTTCACACGTAAGCAGAGTAGGATAATAAGGCGAGATATTCTTAAGCAATCAGTTTTCGATGCGTTAAGGCGGTGGCTGGAGCTGGACCTACCCATTTGTCTTTGACCAGTCTGTCTGACATAAACCAGGTCTTGCAAAGATAGCGGGTACATTTTTCAATTTGAGGCTGGTAATGATTACCAGCAGTGAGGGATAGAAAGGCAGCCAGCACATTGGCATTTGTGCTTACACTAATAGATGCTTTGTAAAGATAGGTAACAAAATATTCCTCTCATTCAAATTGAGCAAGTAATTTTTCGGGGGAGTGTTGCGTGCCCTGGAGCGCGAGAGCAGTCAAGGTTTTAGCGGTATCATCAGCGTCAGGACAGGCCTCTAGTACTGTGCGATGGGTATTAGATCTAGGATTTACAACCCCGCTGTAGAGAGCTTACCGAAACCCGTCTGCCCATATGATTTGATATGGTGCTCGATATGATTGCCTATTTCTTTCAATCTATCCCCCGTTTCTATGTCATACCGTAAAAGATTTACGGACACCTAATAGAACTTAATACTTCGTAAAATCGGTTAACTGGTAATGGACTCACCCATGCCCATTCGAATACTGTTGTTGGGTATCCGCTAGCCACAAGCCCTGATCCTTTTCCAGCTCCAGCAACAATCGAATTACGAATATAGTCCTCTGAGTCATTGTCCCACCACGGGCTATGCATCAGATAAGCCGCTGTTGCTGACGGGGATGCTAGCATGCTGCCAAGTATCCTTTGTTGCCCCAGCATTTTGAAATCAATGTTCCCAATTAAACCCTCTAAAGAGTGAATAACGGAAGATTGTGGGCCTCGTGAAATGGCATGTAAGTCTAATTTGGCAAGCTTTCTGGACCGTATATCAGCTAAGTGTGTGCTCGCATTAGAGTTAAAATGCACATTATCCTTGCTTAATAGCTCAAAGATCTTGGGTAGCCAGAGCTCCAGGCCCACGGGTAATATGCTGGTTGAAAGCAAGTGATTCAAGTTTCCCAGTGCTGATTCTAGAAAATATTTTGCTTTTGAAATGCGAGTCTTGAGCATCTGAGTCTAGGTATTGTTATGATCCATTGCGTGTCGCTGCAGAGAAAGGAGAGAAGCCAATGTGCATGTAATAGAGTCCAGTTCCGACTTGGTATGACTCCAGCTGCCGTTATCATTCTGGAGTCGCAAAAGAGCTTCAAAAGCATCTGGAAACACCCATATACGTTGTCCATTGACCACTTTTGTGACCATCGAAACCAAAGCCGTATCATAAATATTGCAGGACATTGTTCCCAATCCATACGCTGGTTGGTTGTATTCCTGGAAATATTCAAAAAGACTTCGCTTCTTTGCTTCAATAAATGCAGCAAACACACAGTCACCCATTGTTTTTTAATAACGGGACAGTTTTGGTAGAATATAACAAAGTATAAGTATCAGGTAAAAAAAAGATCAAGGTGATAACCAAAGGAAAATTATGAGACAAGATATATATCCTGGCGAAAGACTTATTATATAAACTTGCCTATCTTATAGTAGTAAAGTTACTGACTTTTGCTCACTAGATAAGGAGATTAACATTGGTATCCATTCCTGTCCGGTACGGGTTCCTGCTCCATGTCGTGTGACTTAAAGTCGTGATCAAAAGAATATTCAATTCTCTAGTCTACTAGGAGAGGGTATCCCCACACACCAAGCTTAACGATGCGTAGTGGTCTCTATTTAGGTGTCCAATCAGTGGCTGCTCTAGCTTTTCCTCATGACCATAAACCCAAACCTTAGTACATATTTTCGACGCAAACCATACCTTGCCTTCATCTGCAATGTGTGGCCGTGCTGGTGCCACGTAGTCCAAAGATGGGCTTGGGGCAACTGTGAGTTATTAATTGTAAAATATGTTTGAAAGATGTAACTATCGTAATGGCCTCTTTTTGCTACTGAATGATAGTTTGACCAATGTCGTAAATGACTCCATGCTGATCATCTTCTCTTCCTGTTACACCACATGATCTACTGATGTCGTGTATGATACGACATAGCCTAGATAAAATGCCCATAATGAGGTACAGTATACATTTGTAGAATTGCATGTCTCACGGAAGCCTTATTGCGTGATCCACATATTGGATGGTTGTAAAATTGCTGATATTGGACAGTCCAACTTCATATTACTGCGTTTGATTCCCTACCGCCCACCAAGGTTTGCATAGGTTAGGTATCCCATTCTTATTAGGCTCTTACACAAATGCATGAGAGTCTGGGCTTCTACCGGAATATAAGTTACATCCCACACTTTGAAATGACAGGTGACATGTCACTATAGTACTGCGGCAACCAGTAAATTGTCGGGAAGCTGAATACGCGTAAGCGGTTGACATAGCCAATGAGATAGAGTCGTCCATAGAATCGAGTATATATCAAATGGCATCCGGTCCTCAGTAGGCTACGTACGTGTAGCTGATGCAGCCTCATTCTTCCTTTCTTCGCCCGAAATCACAACATCAACATAGTGGGGTCGGGATTTTTAGCTTTTGCCCTTCGACGGTAGACCCTCTAGAAGCAAATATTAACCATGAGTTGGCTACCCTGATCTGTCCAGTTTAGCCAATAGAACAGTATTAATGCTCCATTTCAGAATGGAATCACAATAATTAAAGTGTGAGAACCGGGTATTGCTGTGCTCCCGGGAGTGTTGTGAGGTCTATGCTAATGCTACTCGGATCAGTCATTGAAGATAAACAAGTGCTTCTACCAATCCTGAAAAGATGCTGGTACCATAAATTGCTCATAAATTACACATCTTTTTGATAATCAACTTTAAGCCTACAATACGTAAAATAGGCGTTTAAGCAGTAGGAGCACAGTCTGAGTGAGGAACAATGGAAACTGTCAATACTAATGTTAGGGAGGATTTTATTGGATTATGAACTTACATATCTCAAACTGATAATGATTGTCACACCTGCACAAGGGATTCACATATTCCAAAAGTCTCGCAAAATGTGGTGACTGAGTACGCAACCATAATATGGACGAGAACACTGTAACTGGTGCATGAGTACATGGTCATCTTATCTATGGATATTACTATGGTGACAATATGGTAGAAGTTGTTGAAGAAAGACATGCTCTACAGCATTGTGATGATCCTATTCACATTGATATCTAATGTGGTGATCTAACGAAACATCGAACATAGAGAAGGAAGAGAAAAAGAAAAAGAAAGAATTCTATCATACAAGAACTGTCGGATTTTGTGTTGTAGGATCTGATCAACAGTGAATAATGTAGTTGCCACTTCCTGCACCGCCTAGGATGCTTCAATTTCTAATCCTCCCCTAAAAATCCATATCAGAAGATGCAGGTAAAAATGCTTGTGGTTTGGCTAGCCTGGTTGTTGGATAACTAGTCTTCTCCTTCTTGCATATCTGCATTTAGTCTATCTTCGACCGTTCCCTGATAACTCTTTTTGCTGCTGCTCCCAGTCTGACTATCTGCTTCGTCTCTTCTAGTAAGGGCTTCCTTACTGCAGCGGCTTTTGCCAACTCGTCTCGTTGCCATCAATGCCAATATGGGCCGGAATCCAGTGGAAGACCATATGGAATCCCGCCTTCCGGCACCACCCCTCAAGCTCAAGACAAGCCTTGAGAAAAACCTGCCCTGAGACCATACAAGGGTTAATTAGGGCTTTGAGCCCCGCCTGACTGTCTGAAAATACATATATCCCCTTGGTGGCTCTCTACGCCTCTATGGGGGTTATTCCCCCTTGCCTGATCTCTTCCCCGGTACACGGTATCACCGCACTCCTTGGTATAGCATGGACTGGTCCAGTACACACTCTAATGGCTGCCTTCCAGACCACCTATTTAATTTAGTGTTTCATCGATATAAGATAAAGCTCTATATTGAGAGCCTCTACCGCTGTTATGCAGAATACCCTGCTGATCAGGGCTGTGGCTCTTTTATGGACGGAGGCAAACTGTCAGATAATCTAGTTGTATTCTTTTGCTAGCATGTTCGCTTGATACCACGAGGCTGCCCTGTAGAGCATCTGTGGGATAACTACTGCCTGGTAGATCCTTCTCATAGCCATGGTTGAGACCCCCCATGTTGATCCAGCCAAGCTGTGTAGGGCTACAAGGCTAGTCCCGGCTTTGGCAACAGCCCTAGCCAGGTGTGTGGCAAACGAGAGTTCCGGGTCTAGCCAGAATCCTAGGTAGTGTTCTGCTTCCTGGAAGGCAGGCATTGTAATCCCTTTGTCCAGAGATAAAGGCGTCAATTGCGGCTATATATCTATTTAGAGATCATAATAAAGTATAGTAGTATGTTTAACTGGTGTAAACACCAATGCATGCTTTATAGCCCAGTCCTGGGCTCTGTAACAGGCTATCTAAATCTTGACCACTCTTTCCTGCTCAGACAGGCCTGCAGCCATACAGCTGATATTATTGACCCAGCTATAGACTACTGTCTGCTTCAGGTTCTCAGCTGTGCTTTTCCTTGTTTCTTATTCCATGCATGACTTGATTAAGCCCGCGTTGTAGAATAGATAGAGAATCAGTAAGAGAGGGCTTCCTTATGGAAACTCTATTGGTATTGGGACCCTTTCGGCTATACTCTCTAGCATACAGATCCGTGTGGATCAGTTAGACAAGAATACCCTGACCTATAGAATTATCTTGCCAAGTCTCTTCCTGTAAAGGTCATGTAGAAACCTTTTATGAGCAGTGTTGTCATATACCCCTATCATGTTAAGGAGAGCTATGTCAGGACCTAGGCCGAACCTTGCCTGAGGTACCTAGAGGCGTGTCCTGCCTTTTCCAGTTAAACGCGTTGCTCTCTCCACGGTCCTGAATTAGCGGTATTGTATTCCACCAATTGAGTCTTCCTAAGGCTAGTGCGATGTCTGTGAAGGGAGGATGGGCGCAATTAGACTTGTTAGGCCCGCGGGTTGGGCCGGGTTTTTCAGGTTTTGCAACCCAGCCTGTTGGGTTTGGGCCGGGTCAAGATAGTATG